CTCCCCTTCAAACTCTTACTAGTCTGAGTAAACTGGTAAGATGTTTGACTTGTGGTACATGTAGTGCTTTAGTTAATATATCTGCTTGTTGATCGTTCGTCTGTATGTATTTCACATTTATGTACTCTAACTCAATGTAGCATTTAATAAAATCTTTCTTATGATCTAAATGCTTTGTTCATTCTGAATATTTGAGTTTGTCCAATGTGACCGTTTGTATAACAGTATCATTATCACAATAGATATTAATTGGTGCATCAGAGACCTGCAGAATCTCTTCAGCTAAATGTGTAAGTGTGATCACTTCCTGTGTTCCTCTTGTAAGAGCTATTAATTCAGCTTCATACATTGAATTTGCTACTAGTGTTTGTCTTTTACTTGACTATGAAACTAATGAATCACTCAAGTAAAATGTGTATCCTGATATTGTATGATGCCCTTCTTGCATCATACTGTCTGCATCTGTATAACTGTTCAATATTGATTGATTTGTGCTGCTGAGTTGGAGCCAGACATTGTTCATAGTTTTTAAGTACATGTAACAATGTTTAAGTGCCAGATAATGCTCCATACTAGGGTCATTAAGGTATTTTACTAACTGATTTGTTGCAAATGCTATATCTGACTGTGTACAGTCTGCAATGTATCTAAGTGCACCAACCATGTTCATGTATAGTATATCAGACATTTGTTCTCTATTGTTATTGGTTTGTAATACTGTTTTTAATTGTGTACCAGGCTGTATAGGTGTTTGTACACTTTGTTCGTTTGTTTGTTTGTAACATTCTATTATACTATTAATATAATGTGTCTGACACATCCTAATGAATCTATGCTCTCTGTTGTGTTGAATCTCTATACTAAGTAGTTAGTGTAATTTGCTACTGTCTGTATATTGTAAATGATGTGCAATAGATTGTTTTATTATTGTAATAGTATTATTATTCATTGCTGCAATAGTAATATTGTCAACATGTACAAATAATATGGTTACAGTTATTTCTTTCTTCTTTGCAAAGAATACAGTGTTATCATGTTTGGATTTTGTTAATCTGTATTTAAGTAGTATATTAGATAGTGTTTTATACCATCTTCTACCAGCTTGTTTTAATCTGTATAGTACTTTTCATAATTGTAATATTTGTCCATTCTGTAATCTGTCTATTAAGTTACCTGGAGGAGGTTTAACATATATTTCTTTGTCTTCTGTCAATTGTCCATACAGATATGCTGATTTTATATCTATCTGATGTATTTCATAATTATTAGATGCTGCCCATACTAATATTAATTGCACTGTAGATAGTCTAACAGTAGGAGCAAATAAATTGTCTGTATGATAGTCAAGGCCATCAATCTGATAGTTTCCTTGAACTACTAATTGTGCTTTATATTTTTCTATACTATTATCAGTGTATTACTTTATTTTATAGACAAATTGTGTTCTGATGATGTTAATATTATTGTATGGATTTGTGATTTCCCATGTATTATGATTTTCTAATTGTTTTATTTCATCTTTCATAGCTGTAATCTATGAATCACAATCCAGACATTGGATTGCTTTATAAAATGAAGTCAGATCTGATTGTATTTCACTTATTTTAGCATTAAATTCTGTTAAATGAATAGTAATATTATCTTCATCCTTTTTGCTAAGTGTATACATGTGTTTTGTTATGCATTTATTCTCCATACATTGTTCAAGCTTAATAGTACATTCTGTTGGTTTCTGTTTCTGTTCCAATCAACATAATTTAGGTTCTACTTCTTTTTCAGTTAATTTAACTTTGTTGTCTGTTAAGTCTGTTGATTCTGCTACTTTTCCTTTTTTGTTAGGATCAGTGTTGTCTGTATCTGAAAGGATTTGGAAGGATTTGTAATGGCACACAATCAAGGAAACCAGAATTCACTGCAAGACACACAGAGACTATGCCAGAAATGCAATCACATGACACAACTTCAAGAATGCATACAAGCAATAATGACATATCAAATATGCTAGGATTGACAAATCTGCAAAACAAGAAGCATACAAATAGAGAGAAATACTATGCAAGTAGTAGCATACCAAATGTTATTCAATCAACTGCAACATTGACTACAACATGTGATACACAAAGGAATAAAATGAGAAAGGAAAGAAGCATCATTCAAGATGCATATATACAAGATATACAACTCAACAATACACAAGGAATGTGAAGCAGCACAATTACATCTATCAATGAAAACACACTAAGAATACAAAGAAAACACAGTACAAATATTTGCTTCAATATGGAGTACCATCCAAGACAACAGAACACACAGCTGTACTGTATTTACAACCAGTCATCACAAAGGACCAACAAAGTAATATAATATTAAAGTAATATACAGAGACCACCATCCAATAATACTAGCAGGACACAAACACTGCAGATCTATGAAACTTAGATCTGAAGACCCCTATGTACTCAACAAATGGTATAAAGCAGGCAAGCCTTACACAAAGGTCATTATACTACACAGACACATAATGACAGAGCCACTCAGAACTTGGAACTAATGGTGCTAATCATAAAAAGGCTAATTAAGCTTAGCCAAGGAAAAGAAGTGCTACTAAGGAAGTAAACATAATGGCTGTGTAAGAAGTACATGGTGCAAAAGATCTAATACAGATTGTTACCTTAAAACAGAAATGGCTAATGCCTCAAACACACAAAATCACTAATGCACATCCTATAGAGCATATAGTAACATACTAAAAATACTGTGACATAGTATACAGACTATCCAATAAACAGAACCACTCAACTTGTAAAGAAATAGGAGGATAAAGGAATAATTAGAGTAGTATAAAAAGTGCTTCATATATTGTGTAAAGAGCATTGTACTCAATAACAGTTTATTTGAGGACAGCTTGTGAACTAGCTGTAAACCTACTCATCTCTCCCAATAAACTCTTTACACAAAAAACACTATTCTATTCATCTTGAAATACAAATGTGTTAAACTACTCTTAAGGGCATTAACTCCCCTTCTACTGAGTGTAAGTACTATCAACACTCTTAGGGATATACTCCTAGTTGAGTGAAGATAGAGGCTACATTCAGGACCAGTGGTTACATAGTTAAGGACCTGCCTGTTGCCTGTGAACCTACAACAAGAGGTGTAATCCCTGTGTAGAAATATAGTCTATAACAACAGTTATTAAGTACAATCACTTCTTGTGTAAAGTATTACACTGTTGTAGCCTGTTTTGAACAATCTGCTAGAATGTAATAGTAATACATTAAGAAGCATAACTGGCTTCACAAAACCAACAGGAATATACTAAAACAACCATCTTTACAATAGTACACAGTAGTACAGACCATTGACCTCTTTACTTAATAGTAACTATAAGAGAAGACTCACACTACTATTAAGGACCATTCCTGGATCAATATGCTACAGGACTATTCTAATAGAGATTAGATCCCTACCTCTATCCCTAATCACTATACTACTTAGCAATGCAGGAATACCTAAGGAGACAGTAGGAGGAATAGAACAACAAATAAGGAGACTGGAGCAACAGCAAAATCTGGAACACATAGAGACACATAGAAACTTAGAAAGGTGTAGAGGATCAATAATTGACTAGCCAGGTGTATCAGAAAATTGTGAACTAGGAAAAGTATACAATATGGTTTACAGGCTTGAAGGGGTGCTCAAAGACATCAAACTAAAGTTAACAAGACAAGGTTATGAGCACTAACTAGAAAGCTAGAAACAAGTACAAGACTTAGAAGAAAAAGTAGTATTGTATGGCCAGAAGGTTATGGAAAACATGGTACAGTTTCATGTTAATACTCAACAAGTAATGCAGAACACAAGACTAGTCAAACAAATGCTGGAGGCATTTCTGTCAGTAGTAAACTCAAGGAATTTGACACTCATGACAGTAACCTTCAGACCAGCATTCTAAATGAACAAAGTCCTAAGACTGGTTCTGCCAGGAGAACCTATCAAAACACTTAAAACAGTATTAGAAACTATAGCTGAGGAACCAGCTACAGAACAAACAGTGGAAGTAACCTATGAAACAGTTA